AAGAGTCCATGAACCCCACATTGCCCTTGATGCTGTGCCATCTGTGTATGTTAATATGTTTCTGATGAGCAATCAGTACCTTGCATGGCAGCCTCTGCCATCCTTGTATGAAAATGGCTGAATGAAGGACATGATGGCTGAAGTGCAGTCCATTTACTATTTGAGGTTTGATTGCCACTCTTTTAATTATGTTATCAATTATTCTTCAAATGCCACCAACTTAACACATATTAACTTTAATGTTTTCCTATTTTCAGTTGAAATGTGTGCTACATTTGGAGGAAAACTTGGCTAAAACTCGTAGAGTGATCTCTTTTTTATATTTTATTTTTATATTTATATTTATTTATTATATATTTATAATTGATCCACACTCATGAAACTTACAACTTTCTTTCTCTAACTTGTAAGTTTTAATCAACCTCTATAATGGCATCAGATACGTTTGCTAAGAAGCTAAAAAGTATTTTATTGCTCACATCTTTATATATTGTATGCAAGAGTCTGATATTAACTTAAATTTATTCATAGAAATACAGAATCTGTGGGAAAATTAACCGAAAAAATTCATCATTTTGTCGTCTATGTAATGCGGATTTTACAATGACAGTTCAACAATCAACAAATGACTCAATAAGTCAATCAACAGAACAACAATTTATTCATCACTTCACAAACTTGTCTATAACGTCTTATGTGATCTCTTTTTCATATTCTAAAACCACTTCTCATCTTATTCATCTTATTCACGATGACCTCTGCCCTGACGCAGTGTTGGTCCTACAGCATGTCAGTTTTCCTGCTCTGTGCAGAAACAGCAGAGGAAGCACGAGACTGCTGGGCAGCGAGAACCAGAAACTTGATTCAATCCCCACACACCGATCACGCAGGCTCATCTGCGGTAAGGCGTACAACACGATGCTAACCAGAACCGCCAGAAACCTCAACAACAGAGGTCCCATTATGGCCATGACGGTGTTGAGCGCCCTCAGCTTTGATTGGTTAACCCTCTCTTTGTCCCCGCCCCCTTCCCCTGGCCCTGGTCGCTTCAAAACTCTGAGTATAGCAAGGCTGCAGAAAGAGACGACAGCTAAGGAGAAAATCAGTTCCATGAAGTACAGCGTGACAGAGAAATTAAACATGTTCAGAGCAATAATACCAATCTTGGATAAACCCAGCAGCCAAACACACAAAATGATGATGATTCTGATTCTGCCTTTCCTCAGGCGCCTGTAGGTGATGGGGTGAACGACGGCCAGGTAGCGCACCACGCAGGTGAGGGTGTGAAGGGACGTCTGTCCACATGAGGTGATGAAGAAAACATCGGACGCCACCATCATCATCCTCTGAACGTTAATGTAGACGCCAATGCAGTAAGCGATGGATCCCGAGATGTACATCATCTCCATGACCATCATGTTGTAGGCGATGAGGTTGGAGGGACTCGTCGAAGCCGAGGGCTGCCGTCGCGATTGCTGGTGACCCAGGTGGAGGACGACGATGGTGAGGGGGAGGATGAGGAGTGTGTTAGTGACAGTGAGGGCAGTGAAGATAAAATTGCCAGCTCTGGAGTGAAAGCAGTTGGAAAAGATGAAGTGAGGAGGAAGAAGTGACAAATTGGAGGAGGAAGAGGAGTTGTCTGCCATTGTTGGAGGCCTAAAAACAAAGAGAGAGGACAGGAGAGAAGCCATGGCCGCTGCAGTTAGCAGCTAAACGATGAGCTCACACATTGTTTTCACATTGTCATTTGATGTATTTATAAAAATATTCCTTAGAGGCACTTTAAGGAAAAAAGAAATGTGTGCCTCACAGTTCAGTTATGAGCAAAAACATATAAATGGCCACAAGTCAAACTGGTTCCAAATCAGTTTTTGCATGTACAGAACCTTTGAGATGTCTTTATCCTGCTCCTTGGAGGTAATTTGGGCTATAAAAAGTTACCAAGTAGTCTGTATTGAGTCATTTTTGGGGGGTAAATTGTGCCAAATAATGACAGCTCAAAAGTTTTTCAATCAAAAACAAGTGACTCCGAAACCTTTGGGAGGTGCATTCAGCTCGTCACACTGTAAAATTTTATTGACTGAAATTTGATCCACACTGATATAAAACTTTCATTTAAGCAACTTTCTTCCTCTAACTTCTCCAATTTGTAACTATTATTATTATATATTATTATGGCACCACATATGTTTGCTAATAAACTAAAAAGTAAACATTATTGTATTTTATTGCTTCCAGACTGAACTGTCTGTATATATTGTATGCAAGAATCTGATGTTGATATTAACTTTAATTTAATCTTAGAAACACACGATTACCTCAAATGTTCTGATGATTGTTGTATTGTGCATATAATATGGATTTTACAATAATAATATGGTCTTGAAAGTGATTTTCACCTTAAGCAAAATAAGAATTCAATGAATCGATAAATCAGTCAACAGAACAACAATTGATTCATCGCTTCACAAATATAGTAAAATATGATAAACATTCTCTGGTTCCAGCTCAACAAATGAGCTGCTTTTCTCTGTTTTATATCATAGCAAATCAAATATCACAATCATTAGTTGCAGCCATAAACATTAATAACTAAAACATTTCATGATATTGTTAAAGGTCACCCACCTTGTCAGTCGTATCTACTTCTGACCTTCCTTCTGCTGTGTGTCAGAGACGCTTCAAAACTGACATCAAATTCACATATACAGTTTATTAACACATGAGTGTGTGTGTGTGTGTGTGTGTGTGTGTGTGTATGTAGCAGGTAGACTGTGACGACTTTTGCATGTTGCAAAATCAGTCGAGACTTTATGACTTTTTACACGGTTCATTTCTTTAAGCAAATGTGTTTATCACACTGTCCTTACCCAGGTTACCTAGTACATTTGACGATTAAAACATTTAATTTAATCAAACTAATACATATATAGTTTTACTAGAACTTACATAATTACTCACAAGCCTGCAATAAACCTAAAATCAGCAGAGGTGTCAAAAAAATACAAATAATCAATTATTCCACTTAAATTAATTTGAAAATTTGTAGAAAGTATAGATATTTGTGTAAAAATGTAAGTTGTCAGAATAGGTTCTCAAGCACAGATAAACTAGTACAGTAACAAATCTCCTCCTCAATCAATACATGTTTGCAAATCTATAAATGTTTTTTTTTTGTATCTGAGCTAACATTCGTGTCAGTTTCCCATTACATAATACACCAAATGCAAATGTCATTTCATCTGTCCATGAAGATGAATAGAGAATACTTTTATGTAAGCAATGACTGCCGAGTATTCAAATCCAGTCAATGATCCAAATCAAATAAAGTCATTTGAGTGACTGTTTGCATCATTTCATTCAAATGTGTGCATGCAGATGAAAGATTACTTTCGTTTTTTTGATTTGTTTGTGTTACAGGGATTGTTGGACTGTCTGCCATGCAAATACCTAGATTAGTAACAGAGATAAGGTCAAGTTAAGTTAAATCACTAAATCAAAGTAGCTTGATAACTAAGCTAACTAACTAACTAACTAACTACTATTGATACTAATTAAATCATCATGTTTTATGTTTGATATTTATTTCCTAGTTTTGTCATTTTATACATATTTAAAAATGTAATTAATTATTGGTTTGTTATTTTCTGACGAGGTAAAAGGCACCTCCTATTAATAGTAATACTTGTAATACTTGAAAAGGCCACTAGATGTCAGCATTTATCTCTAAAGTTATTCCAGGGAATTTCCTGAGAATCACTCAATCTAATAATCCCTCTCAGATGTTATATAAATTAATACGCCCCAATTTTTTGGAAGTGCAATACACCAATTTAAGGTATTTAACCTCCAGTAGTCTCTGCTTTAGACTGTCCACTAATTGTTTGATGCATATTGAAAGATTACCAGTTTTCACCAGGATAATCTAAACATCTGTTCATATTTCACCTTTCATTGATGAGTTTTTTGGGGCATTTTCTGCCTCCATTTGTTTGGTTTTTCAAGTCACTAATATTTAGCAACTGAGTACATGTGCTCCTGCATGTGTGGACACAAAGGAAAGGGTGGAGCTGTCCTTTTTTTAATACATATTTTATATATATAATTTGCTTTTTTGGGAAATTGACTCACCTCTGTAGCCAGTGGCCATTTGAGGAACTGCAGTTTTTGGCTTTTCTGTTCTGGCTTCATTTGCTGATTACACCACAATCTCTTATTGTTTGTTCTGAAGGTGGAGAATGAACTATCTAACTGATATCCAAACATCCGCCTCTGACCTGATGATATTGCTCTGCTAGCTACCATCCCACGAGCCTACAAATGTAATGTAATGTAATGTGAACCCCCTACCTTTACAGGAATAAAAGTATTTTGATATAAAATATGTATTTGGCATTTAACAACACGAGATGTGTGAGCGTGGAGGCTAACAAAAGCTAATTACTTTTACTGCTGAGTAATTAGTAAAGTAATTACTTTTCCTACAAGCAATATGTACTAAGTAATTGATTTCATTTTTCAAATCCTAACTTGCCCAACACTGAATAAATACTAATGTGTATTTCCAGTGTCCACACTTTATTCCATGCAAACGTCCGGAGGCACTTTTTATTTTATGTGTCTGAGGAACAGTGTGTCTTTTTTAGCATGAGAAAACTCTCTGGCACACATACACACACACACA